ATCGGCTTTGCTGTGATTATTGGTGAGAACTGCTGTCTAAAGAGTCCTCTGTGCTCACAATTGAGCTCCACACAATCCTCGCTGCTCTTTTCTGATAGCTGGCTTAGTTGGTTCTCGGTTCACTGTGCATCCAGGTTCTCAGTCCATCCTGTGGTTTAGAAGATAGAGTAGTGGTTAGCTGGAATCCGTACATAACACAAGGTTATGGGGTTCTGTTTGTGTGTGAGCTATGTTGGTATACTGAAAAATGAACAGGTGGATACCAGAACTTTTTCCTTACAATGACTTCTTGGGCAATATCGTAGGAAAGTAGCGATCACGAGGAGCCCTACACTCTGGCAACAAGCTTTACAGGGCTCGGCGAGCCTTGAGTACTTGGCCCTAACCATTTCAACAGGAACTCTCACTTTGAAAGGAATCTCTGGTGATTAAGACACACATCTCACACAGCCACCAATTCCAGACCCTCCTGCTCTTCCCTGTGTAGCTCCTGACGTACCACTAACTTTACTACACATTTAAACAGTTGGCCTAGACCTTCCCGTCTTCAACATGCTTTAAATAATTTCCGGGTTGCCGCCTGCAGGGATATCGGGGAACTTTTAGCGGAGACTTTCGACATTAATAATTTAATGTAATTTTAAAATGATGTTGGATATTTAAACTTGCTATGATAAAATTAATATTGAGCGTTCATGTTCTCAGCTTGTAGTGTTTGTTAATCATTTTTTTCTTTGTTTACATGGCATGTGTGTTGTATTGTTTACTGTTATGAGTACTGAGTGACCAACGAGGTCTAAGTAATTGATCGTTAGTCTTTAGAAAGGGTTCGAAGTTAACTGACTAATGCATATTAAAAAAATAATGATATCTTTTGGACTTATTCTGTGAAAAAGTAAATTTTCTAATTTAATAACGAAGGTAATAAATTTGGAATCATTCGCTTCAGAGCAGTAACGGAAGAACATTTGAGTTGTCTAAATTTTAATTAACAATATTATTATAAAAATTGCTGGCTGTTGAAAACTGAAGAAGGCCCCAGGATTGGCTTCAGACGTAACTGATAATAAATCTTATTTAAAGAAATGTTTTGACTGATTTTGGGCTGTGTGGCCATAAAACTGTTAATATTATTGCAACTAAGATAACTGAAAAAACTGATTTTCTTGGAGTAATTTGAGAATGCATCAGTCAGTTGGCTGATAACATGAGAATGCAAGTACTGAGCGACTTCAAACTTTAACCGGTCTGTAATTTGGGATACTATCTTTGTGAGATAACTAGAAGACTCCTCTCAGTGGCTTTAAAATTTTAAGTTGTTATATTTTACTTAAAAGTTCGATGTGGTTTAAGCTGTATGTGTACCAGTTTGCCATTATTACATAAAATAAATTTACATATTATTTTTTTGTGAGATAGCTTGTGAATGCTTCATCCAGCTGGATGACATTTAAATGCACTAGAAACTTATGCCACATGTACTGTTGTAGAGGGAGCTGAGTTTCTGGGATACAGGGATACTTTTCGCGGATCGTTCATGAATCGAAACACAGCTAATGTTGCGAGTCGTAGAAATATGTTTCAAGTACGATTTGCACCATTACGTTGTGCCATCATGTGAGTTGTAGTATTACATTGTGAGAGAGTTCTTCCAGCAGCACATTGTAAGTTCTTCCATCATGTAAAGAGTCGTTCTTGCATTAACAGTTTTAAGAAAACAATCGAAGCAGATTGAAACTGGACCCCTCCATGTTTTCTTCCTGAGTAGTGTCACTTTAAGATCAAAACTAACTGCAGAATTCCTTTTCACTATCTGTAAGCTTTCTAAAACCATGTATATTTGGAACTGTTCGAAAGAAAGGTTCAGACACTCTTATCATGAGAAATAAGAATGTAGGTTTGAACATGCTTGTGATAACTGTTAATAAAGAAATTATAATCGTTGCAAAACAAGCTTCTAACAGCACAATTTTTCGCCCCAAACAGAGCTCTATCAAGTCATAACCTGATAAAACTCAACAGAGAAACAAAGTTTTCCCCAGTAAATGCATGCTCTGCAAAGCAACTTTTACTCACATAGTGTGCAATACACAGTGTGTATTCAAAACATCTTGTCCAGAATAAAAATTATGATGAATAATTTCGCCAAACATCGTTCTTTTTGTGTTGTGAAGTCACACAAAAAAATTCTATTAAACCGGTAGGTATTATGTAGCACCTAGTGAATGGGAAGCAAACGAGGAAGGAGAAGGAAACGCGAGTAACTGGGATGAAGAGCCCTTCAAAATAAAGGCGCTTACCTTGAAGGACTATTCGTGTCAAACTAAGCTATAATTGCGCCACACTAAAGCCCAGTCTCCTTCCATTAAAGTTAATTGTTATTCAGTTCAAGAAAATATTACACGAAACGTGTGGTACACAGCACCTTGTGTTTCAGTACTTTATAATTATGTTATATAGTGGAAAATTATTTAGAGGAGTGTAAATAATTGATTTTTTGGGGGTCATATTTGTTAGGATAACGCCGGAATTGAGATAAAAAAATTAAGTTGAATATAAGATTTAGCTAAAATTATGAATTTTGACTATTGGAACAGTACTAGTATTTATCTTATCATATTGTAAGCTGGGAAATATAACCTTTTATTGCTTAAATTTATTAATATGCTAAGCAATAAAAGATGTGGACACATAGGTGATACATAGGTGACAAATATTTAGTAGACGAACTGAGTAAATTACACTTTCAACAAAAAATTTACTTAACCCTTTACCAGGCTGTGCCTCATAAAAACATAAATCAACGCAGAGAGTAATACACATACTTAAGAGTGCAAACAAACTGTAATACATAGTCACATGGATAAACGATTCCAAATGGACAGAGAAACAGCAGTTTGAATGGGAATTTGTACAGTATTTCTCCACCTGCTGAAGAGGCTCCCTTTTGTTTACCTTGTGTGATATAAACACATATAATACTAATTATCGACTAAACATTAAGATTCACGTTATTTCTAATGTGCCAATAGAAGAAACGAATAAGAGCAAATCTGCAGAATTCGCTGTCTGCTATCTAGTATGTGAGGGATAGACACGTTACCACTGTATTTCCTAACGTTAACTGTCAGAGCCACAGACACGTTACCAATGCAATATCTAACGGCAACTGTTCAAACCACCGACATGTTATCTCTGTACTACCTACCAGTAACTGATGCAGTGGTCGAAGAAGTGGAGGATGCAGTTTAATATAGACAATGCAAAGTTCAAAGTGTTGGACAAGAAAATAACCATGCCACATATAAACTAAATAACGTAGATCTTAATATTACTGATTACGAAAAGCATTTAGGAGTTCTGGTTAGCAGTAATCTGAAACCAAGACAACAGTACATAAGTGTTCGCAATAAAGTGAACAGAGTCCTTGGCTTCATATCAAGAAGCATAAATAATAAAAGTCCTCAGGTTATTCTTTAACTTTATATATCCTTGGTTATTTAGACTATGCTGCACAATTCTGGTCACCGTATTACAAAATGGATATAAATGTACTGGAAAACGTTCAAAGGAGGACGACGAAATTGATCCTGTGTATCAGAAATCTTCTCTGAGGATACATTGAGGGCCCGGAATCTGCACTCTCTAGAAAGGCGTAGAATTAGGAGGGATATGACTGAGGTGTATAAATGGCCAACAGGAATCAATAAAAGGGATGTAAATAGCTTGCTAAAAATATGCAGCCAACGCAGGACTCACAGCAATGGTTTCAAGTTGAAAAAATTCAGATTCAGGAATGATATAGGTTTGGTAAGAGTTGTGGATGAGTGGAACAAACTCCCGAGTACCGTCATAGAATGCTAAAACGTTGTGTAGTTTTAAAAATATGCTAGATAAATACATGAATGGGTGTGGGTGGGTGTAAGTTCGACCTGACTAGCTTGTGTTAGTAGGTCTGATGCCGTGTTCCTTCCTTAAGTTGATGTGACCTGGACCTGACTAGGTTGAGTCAGAGCCATAAGCCGGTAGGCAACTTGGACCTGCCTCGTATGGGCCAGTAGGCATGCTGCGGTGTTCCTTCTTTCTTATGTTCTTCTTAACTCTCCGAGCCACATTTCTCAATGAGTCTGGGTTTTGATAATCATTGTTGCCCCAACCAAATTTCTACAGGGCTTTTTCATTGTCAGGTTGAGTGCAATGTAACATTTGTTCATATAACCTTAAAGCCCTGCCATTGGAAACTTAAAATTTTTCGTGTTTCCACTGCACCACCCAATTTTCAACATGAATGCTTATAATGTGGCCTGGGACAAAAATGGGCCAATCACAACAAAAACACAAGAGAACTGGTTATGATCGATTCTGAGGAGCAGAAGCTAGTTGTTTCCCCACGAGAATAGATTAAAAGCGTGGGACTAGTGAAGAGTAGGGGGCACTTGATGGAGCCATCACACCCAGTCCGTCTGACAAGGAACTTTGTACAACAATAATTATGCTGTCGTATGCAGTTTCGTAACTTTTACAACATTGCTGTAATTATTTTTAAAAAAGAATTTTATGGACATTTGTGTGTGTGAGCAATGAATATAGAATAAAGTTTTATATATAAAGTGTTCAATAAAAAAGTAAAAAAAAAAATCTACAAACACCAACTAGTGTAGTCCAAGATATCAGAAAATAATTTCTTACATTAGTGAAAACTAAAGTAATTTAAATAATAATTATAAATATAAATAGAGTGTTTAACAAAATATTTAAACGAAAAACAATCTGAGTAACAGGTCTTCGTAAATGTTTGAAATATTCGAATCATCTATTAATAAACAAGGTTAAATGGGGTATAAATGAAATTTAGTACACATGACACGAACAAAATATAATTGTTTGCAATTATCCTGTAATTAAACTGACATATGTAAATAGAATTGCTTAAATTTGGTGGAAAATTATATTGTACTGATACCAGGACATGATGTCTCTGAACAAAGCATGGAGCTTACCAACAACCTGGAGTTTGAATGCCCTGGACATCTTCGGCTCGGTGGAGATCTGACATTCGTAGGTGCCAGAATCCGATATCTGAGCAGAGGCTATACGGAGCGTCCAGTCGTCGGATCCCTCAGAGTGAAGTGCTGTGAACCTATCGTCGGTGGTGTAGGTGAAGAGTCCCACCGTCAACACGTGCACATCCTGCTTCCTGATCCACGTTACCTGTGCACGAGGAAAAGCAAGACCTTCACACTCGGCTCCAGATGTGAAATCAATGACAACCTGACAAACACTGCGTTGAGGGGGAAAATATGAGAGCTGGACTGTGATAGGTTTGAGTGACTGCAGTTTTTTAATAGCCGAGTCGTATTTACTTTAAAGTAATAAAGGATTATGATGAGCATGAGTTTAAGTTGTCTTTAGAAGATAAAATTAGAAAGAGAAAACTTGATGGACTTTTTCTTTGCCGTTAATATTTCGCATTTCCCTTAATGAAGGAAAGACCAGACACTGATTACTTCCTGCGATTTTTCTCTCCAACTTCCAGCTACAGAAACCTGGAAGTCACCTAATACTTTGAATTATCACAGACGTAAAAGTCTGTATTACTAGTCAAATAATTGATATGTACAATTATTGTAATTATAGGAAAAGTTATAATATAATGTGGGCACGAATTTAGTTAGAGCATGTAAAGACTGGAAAATAAATAAAACGTTACTCCTCACGAAGACAATGCGACTCCAGGAATGAGAAATTCAGCATTAGAGTAACAAACAAACGTGTGACTAAGGAGTTTCTGATTGAGTAATAACTTCATGTTAAAAGTCTTGAGATAAGTTTGGATGGTTCCAAGAACGACTAACACAGCGTATAACTTGAGTATATGTGACAACTCGGATCTTAAACATAAAAGTTACAAAAAATAAAATGATTCGATATTAATGACATAAGCAATATACAGCATTAATATCCTTTTTTTTTTTTTAGAAAAGCCCAAAGTTTAAGGTAGTTCGGCATATTCGACTTATTAGGCACATTACATATATATATATATATATATATATATATATATATATATATATATATATATATATATATATATATATATATATATTATTGTAACCACGAACGAGTGGTATTGATCAGTAACAACACTGCGCTAGCCAAGGATTCGAACCCATGTTGTACTGGCCTGCCTCATGGTAAGCGAGAACCACATGACGCTTTAAACCACAGGACCACCCAACCCTACAAGAATGGTGCAGCAGCCAGCGCACAGCTAGCTAGAATGAAATTAGCTTAGAAGCTCCCACACCTCCGCATGCCCTCGGATGGTGGCCCAACAGCTAGCTATGAGCTGGCTGCACCATTCTTGTAGGGTTGGGTGGTCCTGTGGTTAAAGCGTCATGTGGTTCTCGCTTACTATGAGGAAGGCCAGTACAACATGGGTTCGAATCCTTGGCTAGCGCAGTGTTGTTATTGATCAACACCACTCGTTCGTGGTTACAGTAATATATAAATACTGCTCGTGAGGCTAGTACACCAAACAGGGATGAGAATGAAATTAGCTTAGAAGCTCCCACACCTCCGTATGCCCTCGGATGGCGGCCCAACAGCTAGATGTGTGCTGGCTGCGCTATTCTTGTAGGGTTGGGTGGTCCTGTGGTTTAAAGCGTCATGTGGTTCTCGCTTACCATGAGGCAGGCCAGTACAACATGGGTTCGAATCCTTGGCTAGCGCAGTGTTGTTATTGATTATATATATATATATATATATATATATATATATATATATATATATATATATATATATATATATATATATATACATATATACATATACATATATATATCGTGCCGAATAGGCAGAACTTGCCATCTTGGCTTAAATAGCAACGCTCATCTTCACATATAAGACAAGCGAAAATTTGTGTATGCAGTAATTTCGCCAAAATCATTCTGAACCTAACCGAAAAAATACATTTCGTTGTGTTTGTTTAGTATTAAGTTATTGTAAACGTATCTAAAATATATTTAGTTGGATTAGGCTAAAATAAATTGCTCTTGTTATAATAAGGTTAGGTAATTTTTGTAAGATTCTTTCGGGACAAAATTATAAATTTTTACATTAACATTAATGAAAAAAATATATCTTTAAACGTATAAGAGAAAATTTAAAAAACTACTTAATTTTAAATGAGTTCTTGCTAATTGATCAGTTTTACATATTCGGCACGACATATATATATATATATATATATATATATATATATATATATATATATATATATATATATATATATATATATATATATATATATATATATATATATATATGCATGTCGTGCCGAACAGGTAAAACTTGCGATTTTGCTTTAAATAGCAATGCTTGTCTGGCCGAATAAGGCAGAATTTGGCAGAGCGAAAATTTGTGTATGCGGTAATTTCGCAAAAATCATTCTGAACCTAATGAAAAAAAAATATATCGCTGTATTTGTTTATTATCTAATTGTTGTAAGCTTATCTAAAATATATTCAGTACAACACTGCGACTAGCCGGTGGATCGAGCCCGTGTTGTTTTAGTCCGCCTTATCGTGAGCGATAATTCACGACGCTCGAACCCAGTGGACCATTCAATCCTTTCAAGTAGTGGGTTAGAGCTATGTGTTAGAGCGTTGTGGATTTTCGCTCACTATGAGATGGTCTAAAACAACACAGGTTCGATCCCCCGGCTAATCGCAGTGTTATTATTGATTAAATACCACTGGTTCATGGTATTTATACATTTATGGTCATTTTTGTTTGATCTAATTTTCCTATATAGAGCATATGTTTTTGGGTAGCCTGAACTACGCTTTGAAAAATGCTATACTGGCAACTATCTCCACCTTCCTGTCTCACAGGATAATGACTTGTCTTGTCACACCAATTGATCCCCCCTCCACCCCCCCCCCCCCCTCCCCCCAGGTAATCTCTCAGCCCTACAATATCGGCTGAACGGAAATTAGGGCCTTGACTTGATTATAGTTATTAAAGTAATTCCATGATATATTGAAACTGAGTGATTTTTTATCATTTCCCCAGGCTCATGATTACCTTATAATTATTAATAATTCCTGGATAGCTAAGGAAGGATTATCGGTAATGCTGGATAATGAGTTATGGAAGGAAAAGAGGAGATATAAATGAGTAGGATGGAAAAAAGTAGGTTAATAAAAGAGTTTATGCACCTGGGAGAGAGAGGATTATAGAAAAGATAGATCTTGGGAGATGTTACGCAAGTATATAGGGAGTTTTGAACAACGAAAGTTATTGTTGTGGACGAAAGTAGTGGGAGAAGTAGGTACATTTGGGATGCAAGGGGTAAATGAGAACAGGGAGCCTTTAATTGAATTTTATTAAAAAAAAATTGATAATAAATAATATATATTTTAAGAAAAAGAGAATACGAAGGTACACAAGAAATGGAGGGTGTAATGACAGCAATTTGCTAGACTATGTATCAGTAGATAAAAGGTTGATGCATAGACTTGTGGAAGTGTTTGTTGTTTTTAGCAGGGGTAACAGATATATAAGTTTTAGCTATAATGAGAGAAGGCGGAAGATGGGGTACAAGAAGAAAGTTTAGAAGTGAAAGTTTATAAATGAAAGAAGGAGAAAGTCAGAGAAAGATAAAAGGAAGTGTTGCGAGATAGATGGGTTAGTGAGAGAATAGGTAAAGGGAAGTCAAAGAGGTGCAACAGTAGTTCGTGGCTATTGGAGGGTGGGTGTAGGCGGTATGAGGAGCAATTGCCGGAATGTCGAAGAAAAGAGAGTAAACGCTAGCACATGAGATGTTTACTCTGACATTTACTTATTCAAGAGAGGAAATGCCACCTGCTCTAAGTTACATCAATCACCGGCTAAGAGCTATATCAACCTGAAGAAACCAATGGCAGGTAACATTTGTCCCTGAGAAAACACAAATGATGATGGTCTCTATGCACCAAGATGGTGATGCCATAGCAGTAGTAAGCATTAATGGGAGAGTGTTGGTACTCGGGGTGAAATTTGACTCCAAAATGACCATGAAGACCCACGCTGTAAATCTTGCAAACAAGGCGGCCAAAAAGCTTACAGCACAGTGATGTATTTCACATTTGCACGACAGTAGGGGTTGCAAGATTCTGTATGAGGCACAAGTACGCTCACACCTTGAGTATGCTCCACTTTTTTGAATTGCATGCCCCCATATCATCAGTGACTGCTTGACAGAGTAGAGAACAGAGCAAGACACCTCATCTATCACCTGGATCCATCCTGGATAGATCTATCATTTCAGCAGAGCCTTCAACCCTGGAGGGATGTAGGCAGCCAAATATTGTCAAGTACCACACTTTCCTGCACTCCAAGGACAGCGAGAAGTGAGCTTCTACACAACAAGGTGGGCAGCAAGCAACAACTTCACTCTGTACTCTTCTCCATAACATCACTTCATCTGAGATCATTTATTCCCAGGATGACTCGAGTCTGGAACATGTTCATATTGCTTCATGATATCAGTGAAATAAAGTCAGTTGATAAATTGAAACTACTGGCCCACAGATGGCTCCAACTTCATCCTTTTCCTTACATGCATGTCTCATAACAATAAAAAGTCTTTCAAATGAACTGATGTAGGTAACAGCTCTTAACTTGTAAATAAAGAAAGGAACCCTCACCTTAACATTGTTAAACCCTATGTAAAAAATAGTAGAATTGATATAAGGAGAATTAATTATATGAAGATTAGCAGAGGTTAAGAGAGTAGTGAGGGAGTGCAAAAGGAGAGTTATTGTTATTATGATTATTATTATTATGTCAGAAAGTGAAGTTAGCTAACACGTTTTCCCCACAATTTCGGTCCTTTGAACCAGATATCAAGAAATGTGGAGAATTAACGCCAATTTGGAAAGGGGGGGGGGGGATAACCCTCAGCCCTCTGATGGGCCTAGCCTTCTCAGAAAGGCATAGTGAACTCTTCCACTTCCTGGTTCTCAGGACAGCTAGCAAAACAGGCGTCAGAGCATGTCCTCTCATGCTGATATCAGGTAGGGGAAATAGCAGTTACTCTGGGTTTAACCTCGTATGCGTAGTTGACCAGCAAGTGTGGTAAAGAGCAAAGAACGCCCTGATATCAACATGAGAGGCCCTGCTCTGACTCATGTGTTTGCTACCTGTCTTGAGAACCAGGAAGTGGA